TGTAATTATAATTAGATTAATTGCTATTAATAATGTAAGAGGGAATCCTCATCAACCTTAACTACTAGAGAAAAAATGCTGGATTTTGTGTCCTAGTTCATGTCATTCCTCAGGTCTACTTTTACTCTGATGAGGGGTGGCAAAAGCACTTCCAATATCTAGAGGCCAGAGTGAAAAGGGTCCCTATTTTAGTTCCCCTTTTAATAGGAATAGGGGTAGCAAAATCTGCTGCAGTAGGAACAGCAGCCCTTGTTACGGGAAGTTCCAACTATAAGGCCTTAAGCCAACAAATAAAAGAAGACCTATCAACTCTTGAAAATTCTATCAGTCACCTTGAGACCTCTCTCAACTCCCTGGCTAAAGTAGTCCTGCAGAACAGAAGAAGACTAAACATTCTGTTCCTAAAACAAGGAGGTCTTTGCACAGCACTAGGTGAAACTTGCTGTTTTTATACTAACCATTCTGGAATTATATAAGACAGCTTAGCACTAATAAAACAGAAGGTTAAAAACAGAGAAGAATGACTTAGGCGCGGAGAATCTTGGTATGAAGGACTTTTTAATAATACCCCTTGGTTAACAACTCTCCTTACGGCCATCACAGGCCCCCTTATTCTAGTCTTCCTGGGCCTTTTGTCTGGGCCCTGTGTAATTAATTAGATAACTGCCTATGTTAAGAAGCGGGTACAGGCAGTAAAACTCTTGGTCCTCAGAACTCATTACCAGCCACTCCAGGTTGAAGATTCAATGGTTTGAATTCCTACAAAAACCAGTGGGGAATGTAAAAGTGGAAATTCTCCAGTTTCAGGGAGGGCAGTATCTCCAGGTGCAAACAGTAACTCAGTCACAGGGAGGTGATATCTCCAGGCGCCAGCCCCAGGAGAAGTGCAACATTCCAAGGTGAAAATAATAAAACTGTCTACTAGGCCCTGTTTGATCTGAGAGTTCCCCGGATACATTTATCTTTGTACAAAACGTTAATGGCTAACTTCTGCTTCTTGTAATCTGCTTATTCAAGGATGTAGTAGGAGGCTTTATAAGCTGCCTCCTCTAGAAGCTCGGGGCTGATCTCCTCTAACCCTGTGTGGTAGAGAGTCAGTCGCCGGCCGGCTAATCAAGGCTCATAATTAATCTCAATTGGCTTCATGGGTCTCAGAATCATTCGTGCCACAACATTATGAGATATGACTATGCTCTTGGGAACTGAACTTGAGATGGGCAATGACATACATATATACATGAAACCAATAAAAAAAATATACACACATGCAGAGTTTTTATAAAATAAGAAGAATTTAATTTATTTATTAAAATAAGAAGAATTTAATTTATTTACTATTTCCTTCCTGAGCATTAAAATATCACTTTCTAAGTTATGCAGGGTAGAAAATTTCTGGTCTTTCAGGTATCTATGGGAGTTCTACCTGATGCTATAATTCATTATACTGTATGTTATTTATTTGTCTCTCTCCCATACAAGAATGTAAACCCTGATAAAGACTAATTTTCAAAAAAGATAAAACTATAGCTCTCACAAAGATATAAAATGAACATCCATTAAATATCTCACTTAATTCATTTTTAATGAAAGAACTGGGCAAATGATTGTAAAAGTGAAAATTCTCCAGTTTCAGGGAAGTGGTATCTCCAGGTGCCCACCCCAGGAGAAGCAGTAACTCAGTTACAGAGAGGTGATATCTCCAGGTGCCAGCGCCAGGAGAAGTGCAACATTCCAAGGTGAAGATGATAAAACTGTCTATTAGGCCCTGTTTGATCTGAGAGTTCCCCGAATACATTTATCTGTGTACAAAAAGTTAACGACTAACTTCTGCTTCTTGTAATCTGTTCATTCAAAAATGTAGTAGGAGACCTTATAAGCTGCCTCTTCGGGAAGCTCGGGGCTGATTTCCTCTAACCCTGCGTGGTACAGAGTCAGTCGCCGGCCGGCTAATAAAGGCTCATAATTATTCTCAATTGGCTCCGTGGGTTTTAGAATCGTTCGTGACATAACATGATAAAACCAGGTCAAAGAAGAACTCATATAAAAGATACATTGATAGATAGGAATATTGATATTATTTGCAAATGAGTACAAATATAGCTTCTTCTACTTTGCAGAACACAGACCAATGGACCTTCCACTAATGAGGAAATCTGTATGATTAAACCCCTGCTTTTCCCTTCCTCCCCAAAAGAAGATGACCTGGCCTGAACCAATTCTTTCTTTTCATCTGCTAATAACTTCCTTGTCTCTCCCTCCTTCTGCCTTTAAAACTCTTACATTTTATAGAACTTCTCAGATCACCTCCCTAATTTACCAAATGGGATGCTGCTTAATTCAAGACTCTTTCAATAAAGCCAATTAGATCTTTAAATTTACTTGGTTGAATTTTTGTTTTCTTAACAGCTATTAGTAGCTACAATTCGTAGCTACAAAACAGAGCTGGACAATAGTTCAAAGGCAGTGAAAACACAAAGTCCCCACATAATCAGAATTAGATAACCAATAAGGGTGCGTTCTTTGTTTACAACATACCCTTATTGGTTATCTAATGGAACACACATTTTTCTCTATAGTCTCTCAATTTTAATAAAATATTATTTCAAAGAAAGATTATTCTTGATCACAAAATAAGGCTTTCCCTCATTAGATTTGTCCTCATTATTTACACAGATGCAGAAAGAATGTTAATTTACCAGACAGGCCTTCTTAAGTTTGAAATCCTAAAGATTTCCATACAGAAATGCAAATTAAAACCACAGTGAGATATCACTTCACACCTTTAAGAATGGCCATCATCAATAAACCGACAAACAACAAATGTTGATGAGGATGTGGAGAAAAGGGAACTTTAGTGTACTATTGTTGGCATTACAAATTGGTGCATCCACTCTGGAAAACAGTTTGGAAGTTCCTCAGAAAATTAAAAATAGAACTACCATATGACCCAACAATTCCACTTCTGGATATTTAACTGAAGAAATTTTTAAAAACTCTAATTCAAAAAAATATGTATGTACCCCTGTGTTCATTGAAACATTATTTGCAATAACCAAGCTATGGAAGCAACCTAAATACCCATCAATAGACAACTGGATAAAGAAGATGTGGTACATATATTCAAAGGACTATTACTCAGCCATAAAAATGAATGAAATCTTACCCTTGGAGACAACATGGATGAAACTCAAAGATATTATGTAAGTGAAATAAGTTAGACAGAGAAAGATAAATACCATGTGATTTCATTTATATGTGAAACATAAAGAATAAAATAAACAAACAAAACAGAAACAGACTCATAGATTCAGATAACGAACTGATGGTTACCAGATGGGAGAAGCATTTGGGGACGGGAAAATGAAAAAGGTGAAGGGATTAAAAATTGCAAATTAGCAGTTACGAAGTAGTCATGAAGATGTTAAGTAAAGCATAGGGAATGCAGTCAATAATATGGTAGCAACTATGTATAGAACCAGGTGAGTATAAGACTAGTCAGTGGAATCACATAGTAAATTATGTAAATGTCTAACCACTATGTTGAACACCCGAAACTAACATAAAATAATATTGAATGTCATCTGTAATTGAAAAATCAAAAGAGGGGGAAGATGAAGGGGAATAGGAATATCAGACTTCCAAGTATTAAACCTGGGATTCAGCATACAGGATATAGTCAATAATATTGTGATAGCATTGTGTGGTGTTGGATGGTTACTGGACTTATCTTAATGACTGCTTCTTTAGGTATATAAATGTGAATAACCGTGGTATATACCTCAAACTTATAGAATGTTGTATGTTAGCTATATTTTAATAAAAAATCTTTTAAAAAAGATAAGAGAGAACAAATGCTGGCAAAGATGTGGAGAAAAGAGAACCTTTATGCACTGTTGGTGGGAATGTGAATTGATAGAGACACTATGAAAAAAATATGGACGTTTTGCAAAAATTTAAAGATAGACCTGCCGTGTGATGATCTACCATCCCACTTGTAGGTATATATCCAAAGGAAATAAAAATGGGATATCAAAGAGACATCTGTACTCTTATATTTATTTCAGCATTGTTCATAATAGCCAAGGTATGGGAAAAACCTAAGTGCCTATAAATAGATAAATGGATAAAGAATGTACAATAGAATATTATTTAGCCATAAGAAAGAAGAAAACTCCTGTGATATCATTTATATGTGGAATCTAAAACAACAGCAACAATAAAAAACTGAACTTGTAGAAACAGAGAATAGAATGGTGGTTACCAGGAGCTGGAGAGTGAGAGAAATGGGGAGATGTTGGTCAAAAGGTACAAACTTCAGATTGAAAAAAGAATAATTCCTGTGGATCTAATATACAGTATTGTGATTATAATTAACAATAATGTATTATATACTCGAATGTTCTTATGAGAGTAGATCTTAAATGTTCTTACAAAAAAGTAATAGTAATTATGTGATGTGATGGAGGTTTTAGCTAATGCTATGCCACAGTGGTAATCATTTTGCAATAAAAAAATGTACCAAATCAACACACTTAATACCTTAAATTTACACAACGTTATATATTGATTATCTCAATAAATTTGAAATATTAAATAAAAATTATAAAGTTAAAAAATCAATTTCCTTTCTGAAGCATCTGACTAGTGATTTAAAATGAACATAATTTAGCTTTTGCTAATGGAGCTAACA